GCCCCCAGCCCCAGGCGCGGGGTGAGCTGCCTCTCCCCCATTTCCGTCTGTAATTTGCAGGGAGATAGACGACGTGATCAGCGCTGACCTGCACGCTCTCAGGGTGAGGGGCTGCCCGGGGTCGGGGTGGGGGCCCTCTTGGCTGCAGCTAAACTCCCCCCACCACGCAGGCCCCCAGCATTCCCCTGGACCTGGGGTTGAAGCTGCTGTTTCAGGAGCTGGCAGGAGAGGTGAGGAGTGGGCTGCGGGGGTCCCGCCCTCCCCTGGAACTGCTCCTCTTCCCTGACTGTCTAATTTTCCTTTTGATTTCCCGCTCTTAAATCTCTCAAAATGCTCACAGCTCCTCCCTGCCTCAGGGCCTTTGCTCAGTCTGGGAGTTCTCATCCTTCACGCCCCTGCCCCCCTTCTCGGTCCTTCCAACGTGCCCTTCGCTGAAAGCTCTCCTGACCCTCCCAGGCTGGTCAGCCACATGCCCGCTATGGGTTTCCACAGCCCAGGGCTTCCCCATTGCAGCCCTGACCACCCTCCTGGGCTGTGAGCTCTGGAGAGGGCAGGCCTGGGCTGCCTTTGCCTGTCCCCAGCACCGCCCAGCATGTTGCTCGGCTGGGCCCAGAGCCCCTTGTTGAATGGCTGCCTGAGTGAATGGCCTCATCACCGCTCTCTTTGATCAGGAGGAAGAGCTCAGTGCCCCTCAGCTCCAGACCTTATTAAGCATTGCCCTAGAGCCTGGTGAGTTGGGACCAGAGTGGTCCTCACAGGGCCCCCCGATGTGTGGGAATCCGTGATGCTGCTGGGAGTCAGGCCACAGGAAGCCTAGGCTGCCTGATGGCATTTCCTCACACGTGGGCCTTGCGGCAGGCCCGGTGCCAAGGCCCAGCGACTCATAAGCCCCCCTCCCCTGAGGGACAGGCCGGGAGTGTGGCTGCTACTAGCACTCAGAACTCCCTCGCCTGGGTTCAAATCCTGGCTGTTAGGTACCAGCAGTCCTTTGTGTGCCCCAGCGTCTATAACATGGGGGATGCAGTAATCCCTAGCACTCACAATGACGGCCAGCCACGGGAGCTTGGGTTTGTTTGTTCCCGTAGCCAGGGCCCACAGCTGGACCACCGGAGAGATCGGGCTCAGGACCTGTGAGCAGCTGCTGCAGTGCTTCGGGGTATGTGAGGGAGCTGTGCCTGGTAGGGAGGATGGTGATGTTGGGGCCTCTGCTCCCCTTCTGGGGACACTGACTTAACCAGATGTCCCTCTCCAGCATGGCAGACGCCTGGCCCTGCACCACTTCCAGCAGCTCTGGGGCCACCTCCGGGAGTGGCAGGTAAGGTGACTTGGGTGGAACCATCTCCTGGAAGAAGACTTTACTAATAGGGACGCAGATGCTCTGTGGGCTGGCAGGGCCCCAGGGGAGTCGGGGGACTGGGCCACACCACGCCATCTGGGAGGGATCTGGCTAGGATGTCCCTGCTCCATCACCCTCTGTGGTCCATAAAGAGTGGGGGTGGGAAACTTATTTTCTGCCAAGGGCCATTTGGGCATTTATAACATCATTCATGGGCCATATAAAATTATTGTCTTAAAAACTAGCCTGCTATATTTAGACAAACATTTAACTCACCCCTAATGCCTTGGCAGGGCCAGAACAAATGATTTCAAGGGCCTTCTACGGCCTGCGGGCCGGACATTCTCCATCCCTGCTCTAGGGCATCAAGAAAGAACACTGGCTCTGGTCTGGGTTGGCATTTTAGCTCCCAGCTCAGCCCCTGTCTGGCTGTGTGATCACAGGCCAGTACCTCCCCTTGGAGCAACTTTGCTTGTCTAGCAATGGGAGGTGGTGATCCTCCCTCCACCCCCAAAACCCATGTGAGAAGAAAATGGCCTAAGGCTTCTCTGTACTAATCATGGTGATAAGCCACCATTTGTTGTGCCCCCAGTAGGCCCCCCGTGGGTAATCTTAGCGTGTCCTCACAACCACCTTATTACAGCTCTTATTACTGATCCCGTTTTACAAACTGGGAACACAGACCCAAAGTGTAAAGCTGCTTCCCCATGTCACGAAGCCAGGAGGAAAGGGAGCTGGGGTGGGCACCCAGCCTGTCGGGCCCCTGAGACACCCTTTCAGGCAGCTCAGGAGCCTGGCGGGGGACTGACCTGTTCCTCCCCACCCAGGCCATATTCGACAAGTTCGACCAGGACGCCTCTGGCACCATGAACTCCCATGAGCTGAGGCTGGCGCTGAATGCTGCAGGTATGGACAGAGGCCTTGGGGTGAGTCGTGAGGACAGGATTGGCTCCCCCTCCTGCCCCGTCCTCTTCAAGTCCTAGCAGCTCACTCAGCTGCCAACACCCACAAAGTCGACCTCTCAGCTTGTTGCCAGCTCTTGGCAGGGACTGAGAGGCCACAGGGAGAATCCTGTGTGGGGAAAGGAAGGTGTGAGAGGTGATGGGCCAGGGAGGGCATGGGAGCTGGTGTCTGAGAGGCCCTGGTCCCCAGGACACTGTGGCAGAATGTCCTGTGTTCCCATGAGCTTGGGTTGGAATCCTAACTACTGACTTAAGTCCTTGGGGCCCTTCCCTAGGCATGTGAGTCCATCCCCTTGAGCCTCCATTGCCCCCTGTAAAGTGGCTCCAACACAGAGTGGCTGCAAGAGTTCAACATTCCCCCTTGTGTGGAGGGGGCAGGGGAGGGAAATCAGACAGGAACTCCTAGACCCCCACCCACCCCGCAGCAAAGTGAAGGGTAAGACATCGGGAGATCAAAGATCCAGGGATGTGCAAGGAAAGAAAGGAGCCCAAGACAGAGGGAGTCAGAGAGAGGATGGGGAGACAGGGACAGGGAGAAACAAAGTCCAGACAGACAGAAGCAATGGCGAGAGAACAAGGAGAAGGTGCAAGTTTGTACTTAGTATCACTGAGCACCTGGTACATGCCTGGTGTACTAGGCGGAAGAAAACTGATCAAGTGCCCTTGAGGTTCTATGGTACAACAGCAAATAGAACTCCTAGGTCAGATGGTGGTAAGTGCTGGGGCAAGAGAAAGCAGGGCTGGGTGCTAGGGCATGCAGGGATGGGTGGAGTGAGACAGGGTGGTCAGGGAGGCCTTGCTGAGGTTTGAGCAGAGACCTGAAGGGAGTGAGCTTTGGGGACACTGGGGCAAGTGTTCCTGACAGAGGGAACAGTGAGTGCAAAGGCCCTGAGGTGTGAACCTGTACCGAGGGACTGGTGTGAAGGAGGGGCCCCCTTGGAGATAACACAGGGGCCTGAAGCTTAGTGGGGAGGGGGGTGGTGGTCAGAGTAAAGATCGGTGGTGGTGGTGGGAGACAGGAGAGCCCACGGGGCATCGTGAGGACTTTGGCTCTTTAAAACATTTTAAATTATGTATAAGAGGGGAGAGGGAGAGGCAAGTCCAGGTCAGGGTTCAGGGGCTGGAGTGACGGCAGCATCTAGAGAAGGGAAGGCCAGGGAGGGGACCAGCAGGAAACAAGCTCTGAGACCCAGGAACAGGCAGGGTGTCAGGATAGGGGATCAGCAGGAGAAACAGCCCTGTTCCAATTCAGTCACATTCTTTGCTCCATAGAGTCCTTGAACACCTGCTCTGCTCACGGCCCTGGGCAGGCTGATGTTGGGACTCAGGGTGCAGAGTCACCCTGACCCCCCACGGCTTCCAGTCCAGAGGCAGCAGCTACCAGTGACAGTGACAGCCCAGAGTGGTCAGGGTGGGGTGGGGGAGGCCCAGGGAACTGTGGGAGCCCAGAGGTGCTCGGTGCTGTGTGCTGGGGTTATCTATGGGGGTTTTCTGACGTGTGAGATGAGGAGGAATGCCTTGGGCCAAGAGGGAAAGAGGTGCTCTGGGCATAGGGAACAGCATGTACAAAGGAGGCAAGAGGCCAAGGTCCAAGTGAGGAGGAGAGGAGAGTGGGAGTGAGGTTTGGTCTGTGAGGCCATCATGTGCTTGGTACAATGGGGCCCTGGGAGGGGTAACCAGGTCATGGTCACTAGGAGTGAACCTTGGGTAAACTGGGTGAGGGACTTCACAAGGACCAAGCGGCCCTGGCAGGACCCCACGTCAGGCACCACAGAATACAGAGCCCACAAAAGTGGTCAGAGGAAGCCGACAGCAGGAATTCCAGAGACGCTGCCTAAGGGCTCCCGGCCCCTTCACCTCCTCTGCCTGCCTGGGTTTCCCATGGCCCCGGGCACAGCAGCTCTACCCCACCCCCACCCCACCCCTGAGGGCAGATGAAGGCCAGAGGTCACACCACCAGGATGAGGGGGCAGCCTCTTCTTTCCCCCAAGACTTTCCATGGCACCCAGACAAGGCACAGGTCGCAACGGCACTTGATAATTATCCTCAAACTGTTTATCTGGACCTGCGGCACATGGAGGGGTCACCCTGCAACCTTGAGTCCCAGAGCGTTATCTGTGACCTGGGAGAACCAGTGTTTGCAGCTTTTAGATGCCTGCTTAGGTTCCTCATCAGAGATGCTTTCTAAACTTCAGAAATCACCCCTGATGTGGAGTATAAAGAAACTGACCCCATATGGAACTGACAAGAATGCTTTGCTACACAGAAAACTTCTTCAGGGTCCACTAGCAGAAATTCTGCGTTTAAAGGAGTAACACTGACACAGTTGGTATGTGCCAGACAGTCCTAAGTGCTCTACATTGAACATCTTCACACAACCTTATGGGGTCAGGGCTGTCATAGTTCCCCTTTGACAGATGAGGAAACTGAGGCCCATAGCAACACAGCTGGGTTGAGGCAGAGCTGGGAACAGGTCCTGGGCTCCCTGAGGAGTCAGGGTGGGTGCCATACTGAGGTGGGGTTCCTGGCAGCCAAGGCTCAGAGGCAGCCTCCCCCTAGGCTTCCACCTCAACAACCAGCTGACCCAGGCCCTTACTAGCCGCTACCGGGACAGCCGTCTGCGTGTGGACTTGGAGCGCTTTGTGTCCTGTGTGGCCCAGCTTACCTGCATCTTCTGTGAGTGCCATGCCTAGCATGCATTGGGGCACAGGGAGCATGTCTCCCACAGCCGGGGGACTGGGGTGGTGGGCACTCACCTGGCCCTCCCTGCACAGGCCACTGTAGCCAGCACTTGGATGGGGGCGAGGGAGTCATCTGCCTGACCCGCCAACAGGTGAGCCTGGGCTGGAGGGAGAGTGGCACCGGGCAGCTAAGGCAGGCGGCCCAAGAGACCCCTGCCTCAAGCCCACTCACTGTCTTCTCTCACCCAGTGGATGGAGATGGCCAACTTCTCCTAGGATCTTGGCAGGGGAGCGCCTGCGGCTGGAGGCAGGAGAGCTGCAGGAGCCCTGCCTTTCCCGGTCAGCCTGGACCAGGGTTTATTCCACAGCGAGGGGGTTCTGAGCCAAACCAGCCCCCCAGCCCCTCCACCTCCCTGCCTGGCACGGGGGCTGACGCTCTGACATCAGGCAGTGCTTCTGAGCATGGCCTTGGGAGCCGGTCTGCCACACACTCACCACCGGGTGACGCTGGGCAGGTCACTGCCCCTCTGAGCTTTGCTCTCCTCACCTGTGAACAGGGGTGATGGCGCGCCTTCTTGGGCAGCCACATGAGCTGGTCGATTGTGTGCTGAGCACAGTGCCTTCCCTGACTGGGTCCCCAACAGCGTTATTTTACACTAATGGAAACAGGGATGTGGCACCCCAGGCCCTGCCCCACTCTGCGGAGAGGTGCTGTGTCACTGCCCTGCTAACAATCAGAGAACAGAGACTGGAGAGAGAGGATACTGCAGACTCCTTCTTAAAAATATTAGGTTTATTATCCTGTCCCCAGAAGGGTGGTTTATCCAGAAACCAAGAAAAAAAATCAATCCAAATAAAACAAAAGGGAAATGGGAAAGGAACAAAACCATCAACTAACAGGCAGCCAGGCCAGCAGCCCACCCCCCACCTCAGGAGGGTCCCCAGAGACCCATGCCTGACGGCAGACAACAGAAAAATCAGTAAGGGGCTGGGGGAGGGGAGCAAATCAGCTATGTCTTCATTATGAGCAAGAGGCGGCAAAGATATGTTGCTAGGTGAATATATATTTATATAATAAATCCGTAACTTAATAAAGTAAATAGTAATTCTCTGAAAGGTTTAAATTTTTTATAGCTTTCTTTTTTTTGGTGATTTTGTGTGTTTTTTTGTTTTTTTGTTTTGGTTTTGGTCCTTAGAAGATCTGAGAGAGACCCAGGTCCAGACAAAGCCAGGTGTGAGCGGCTGGGGGCAGGGGTAGAAGGCTGGGTGCCCAATCCACTCCTCTGTTGCAGAAGGGGACACTGAGCTGCACTCCCCCACCTCCTGGCAATCGCAAAGGAGGGGAGGGGTAAAGGGAGCAGGGTGGGTCCTCTTTCCTATTGGGTAGCTGTGGTGCCCTCTGCTGGGCCCATCACAGGTGTGAGCAGTTCCTGGACAAGGCACATAGGGCTTTGGCCTAGATGTGGGAGGCCTTGAAGGGACCTCAGGGGGGAAAAAGGAAGGGGCAGGTTGTGGTGGGCATTCCTTGGGCCCGGAGGGGACCTGTTTTGCTGTGGGGATCCACTGTCCCCTCCACATGGTTAAAAACAACAACAAACCAATACATCATATATATTTACCAGACCAGAAGTGTTGACCCCCAAAAGTCTCCAGTACCCCTATCCAGGGGGAGCGGGAGAGAACCTCCTGGCCAACTGACAAAGAGAGAGGAGAGAGCCTGCCCCAGCCCCTCCCTGCCCACCCGCCCCACCCCCCAGAAAGGACTGACAGAGTGCTTTGCATAGATACAGAGTCAGAGGAACAGGACCAGGGAGGCCCCGCAGCAGGGAGAGGGGCTCTCCCAGCCCCTCCTGGAGGCTGTGAGGAGGGGGTGTTTGGTCAGGGCTCTCCGTGGGAGCCTCACAGGTCACTCTCGCCGTACAGGGCTGTAGAGAAGGACTTGTAGTCAAGGGCACCGGGCACCGCATCAGGGCCCTGGTACGGTGCCATGCGGGCAATGCAGTACTCGGCCTGGTCAGGGGGCAGCTCTCTCCGAAGCTCCTCGGCTGTGATGAAGTTCTGGGGAAGGCAGGGCGGGACTTTGGGCCACCTGCACCCCACACTGGCCCCCAGTCCCTCATGCCCAGTCCTGACTGCAGAGCCCCGTCCTGCTGGCCCCAGGTGCTCAGAGGTGTCTGGCTTACCTTGTCCCCAGCCAGGACTTTGAAGGAGGCGATGACCTGGTCGGCTGTGTCTGTGTCGGTAGTTTCCCTAGACATGAAGTCGATGAAGGCTTGGAAAGTCACGAGGCCGCTGTGGTTGGGGTCGACGACGCTCATGATGCGGTTGAACTCAGCATCCCCCTGCGAGGCAGGAGTGGGGCAGGGGACAGGCAGCATTTGAGCGGGGCAGGATGGCTGGGCCGGGGCAGCAGAACCGAGCTAGGAGGGCAGGGTCCGACCCCAGTGCACACTCCAAGTTGTCAGCCTGCCTCCAAGGGCCTGGATTCCCCGGGCAACTGCCCCATGTGCCCCAGACAGGATGAGCGCCCTCTACTCTTCCCCTCCCACATTTTTGGGAAGTGGGGTATAGATCAAATAGGTCTGCTGCTCCTCAGCCCTAGGCTCACAAGTTAACTCTGGAGGGTGGGGAAGAAAGAAAAAGAGAAAGAAAAGGGGGAGAGAGCTGGAGGCCTGACCTCCTCTCTCACAGCCTCCAGGAGGGGCTTGGAGGCTCAGGGAGTCATTGGAGGGACCCCAGCCCAGCAGATGCAGCAGAAGGGGGGAGGTGAGGCTGCACTGATCTGGTGGAGGGGTGTCCCTGAGGACCTGGAAACTCTAGATGGGGGTAGTACAAAAAGGAGGAGGAGGAAGGGGGGGGGAGGAGAGGAGGAGCAGGAGGAGGAGGAGCAGGAGGAGGAGGACACAAAAAGGAGGAGGAGGAAGGGGGGGGAGGAGAGGAGGAGCAGGAGGAGGAGGAGTGGCACAGCAGCGAGGGAGGCAGAGGCTGCATACCAGGCTGTATCCTGTGGAGATAAGCAGAGCCCTGAAGTCATCCGAGTCCATGCTGCCTGTCTGTTTCTGCTCGAGGACGCAGGGACAGCAGGAGGCCAGGACCACAGTAGGCAAGAGGGGCAGACCCATGTGCACAGCAGGGAAACAGGACAGTGGCAGGAGCAGGGGAGACCAAGGCGGCCCCAAGAGACCAGGTAAGGGGAAGGGGTCCAGAAAGACACAGGTAGGAAGGAGGCAAGAGAACCGGTGAGATGGTACACATAACGAAGAGGGGTGAAATGGCGAGGGTGGGGAGACAGAGAAGGAGAGAGAGAAAGAAGAGCAGTTAATGCCATGGTCCACTGGGGCCCAGGGGGCGCATACCTGCCGGTCATTCTCCACGTCGTAGCCCAGGCTGATGAGGCAGGCCTTGAATTCCTCTGGCCCCAGCGCCCCGCCGTGGTCCTGCCGGGTGTCCAAAGGCAGGTGTGCAAGGGGCGGTGTGGAAAGCAGGCCGGCACAGAGGTGGGAGAGGGGCCAGGGTTATATGCAGAGGGCCGGGGGATGGGGGAGACACACATGGAGAGGGAAACACAGAGTTAGAAGTGATGTGGACAAGGTGATGGCCAGGGACAGCTGGGGCAGGTGGAGGGGTGTGGGTGGTCTGGAGGACAGTCAGAGGCTTCTTCCCACGTCCTCGGGGCTAGAGCAGGGTGGGGAGTTGAATGGTGCAGAATCGAGGATTGAGTCCCAGGACTGGGGGGGGGGGGCGGGGGACACTTTGCCTCCAGGGTCTGGGGTGGGAGAAAAGGGATTGCACTAAGGCGTCAGGGTCCTGCTTGATGGTGCAGGGCTGAGGCTGCACCCTCCTACCCACGGGTGAAAGCAGGCAGATGACACATCAGGCCCAGCAGTGGAAAGGGACTGGGTAAACTCTGGCACTCAGGCCCTTCCAACGGGGCTGCCAGACCAAATCTGAATTTGAAGAGCACTGTGTGCCTGCGTAAACCAGATTCACGGGTCAGGTCTCAACTCTCGGGTGTGCTGGGACTTAGTCTGTCCCGTGTCTCATGGGCAGGCTGGTGAGGAAGCACGGCCTGAGGCAGGGCTCAGGACCCCCCTTTTCTTCCCAAGGGAAACTGCTCGTGCTGTGGACACGGTGATGCATGTCTGCACCACCTTCTGTGGCTGAGGCCCTGACAAGCCCTGTGAGCGGCGGCTGATACGTAGCAACTGTGATGTGAATGAACTGACAGATGCAAAGATAGAGGGGCAAGATGCGACAGTGACAATGGTGACAACAGGGAGGGAAGGTGCCAGGGGCAGACGGAGTTGCTCACCTTGTCAAAGTGATTGAAGGATGCCCGGAACTCCTGCATCTGCTCCTGGCTGATGCCCTTGGCATCTCGGGTGAGGATTTGGTTCTCAACCTCGTTGATGGTGCGGGCTATGGTGGTGAGCAGCTGCTCCCAGCCCACTCGGATGTGCTGGGGGAGAAGGGAGGGTGTGACTGCAGGCCTGGCTGGTGGGAGTGCTTGGACCACCACAGCTGTAGCTGAGGGTCACTGGGAACTGGGTTCTCCCCGTATGGGAGGGCGTACAGCATGGCGTGAGGCTCACCCTAACTTTCTCCCAAATGCCAGTCCAGGCCCATGCTCTCTTGTGCACCTCATTTGCACACAGGGACAGAGGCATGGTACTTACCTGTTGCCTCGGCTCACCAGCAGAGTTCATGTCACCTTAATATATATTTGGTGACAGGTGTAGCAGAGGGCCAGGGCCCAATACCTGTGCAAGGTCTATGTGAAAACTTGGCAGAGATATGTTGGCAAAGTTTAATTGGCTTTCTGGGGAGAAACACTCCCTGTTTTGTAGCATCTGCCATGTGCATGGTGTAAATACTGTCACCAAGGATGATTTCAAGCTACCAACGTGATGATAAGCAGCCCTGACAGTGTAACTCGGCTGCAGAGAGCTGGCACACACAGATGCTGGCACACATTGGCTGCATCGGTGTTCTCAAGTGAGGACTCAGTGCTGAGGCCACAGCAGGGGCTGGTGCTACCCTCCCAGCTCTCTCAGGAGCTTGTCCTGAGATGTGTTGTCATGGTGTTGGGAGAACAGTGTTAGGAAAACAGTGATATTAAAAAATGTGTAAACATTTTGATCTAGTCTTTTCAGTCAGGATAAAAGAGACCAAGGAAGCTGCAGACGCCTTCCCTGCCAGACTACATAGGGCTCTTCCGTGCTACAGACGGGGTGTGGGGGCCTGATGGGGCATAGTGTACCTCCATGGTGTAGTTGGTGTGCTTGTTGTCGAAGATGAGGGCCTCCTGGATGAGCTGGTGCTGCTGCTCGAGCAGGTCCAGGTTTGGCTTGTAGTCCACAATGCTGAGCTCATACTGCTTCAGGTGGCTCAGCTGGTCCTCCAGGGTCCCGTTCATCTCGATGGAGATGCGCCCGATTTCCTGCACACAAGGCAGGTGCCACTGAGGGTGGGGCTGGCGGACCCTCGGCCACAACCAGCCACCCAGAGGAGATCTCTGTTTCTGGTGGCCTCCCTCCCAGGGTCCCTCCTCCTAAAAGGCCTGTGCCTCAATGATGGTCCCTCCCTGCCCACCCTCCAGGGAAAAAGCAACCGCACTGGAGAGTTTCTGTGCTAAGTGCTACACATGCCTAACCTCAATGCACCCTTGACTCATTGTGACAGGCTCTGTCTACAAATGTGGAAACTAAGGCCCAAACAAAGCAACTTCTCACAGTAAAAGGCAGTCAGATTCTGAACCAGGCCTGGCTGATGTTAGAGCCTGTGGCTCCTAAGTATGGGCACCCCTGCCTTCGCTCCCTCGGTGGCCATGCTGTGTAGCTGGAGGAGTTTCAGCGAGGCTGCGCTGGTCAGCATGAGCCTGGTGGGTAGTGAGCACTTAGTAAGAGGTTGTCAGGGCTGACCAGCCCATACCCTTCCCCAGCTGGAGGAGTTTCAGCGAGGCTGCGCTGGTCAGCGTGAGCCTGGTGGGTAGTGAGCACTTAGTAAGAGGTTGTCAGAGTTGCGACTGGCATCATTACAAACCTTCCTGTGGCTAGGCCACGAGGGTTACTGTGAGACGCCGCGAGGGTCTGAGCTGGGACCACCTTGACCACAGCGCCTGCAGCAGGGCCTGCACTGAGCAGTGCACAACAGCATTTGTGGAGCAAATGAAATAATTCTTTTCACCCCCATTTTAGAGATGAGAAAACCGAGGAGCAAGGTTAAATTGTGCCTGAGCTCACAAGCACCAATCAAGGGCAGAGTCAAGACTTGAACCTACCTCCATCTGCCTTTCAGCCAAGTAGCCCGCTGGGTGGTGCTGCCACTTCCATTCATATCATTGATCCACCCTCCTAACTCCACCAAGGATCAGGGCTCCCAGCTGGTGAGAGCTGGGACCCACACCCACTAGGCCTCCAGGTCCGCTGGCCCTGGGAGCACGGATCTTCCAGCAGGGCAGACAACCTTTTCTGCTCACTGACCTCCTGCTTACCGGGGGCTCTTTCCCACTCCGCCCTGGGCTCAGCAGGGCTAGGGCTAGGGCAATGGCCCCTCACCTCCATCTTAGTCTGGATCCAGGGCCCCACGATGTTGGCTTGGCTGGCGAACTGGCGGCGGAGGTGCTCATTGGACTGCTGTTTGCTTTGCTCCTCCAGGAGGGCATGGTCCCGTTTGGGCACCAGCTGCTGCACCTGGGGAAGGGCATGGAGCAGGAGCAGTCAGGGTGACGGCCCCCTCACCTGGCCAGCCCTGCCCCTGCCCTGGCCCTGTTAAGGGGCTCTCCCCACCTTCTCCCACTTGGAGTTGATGATCTGGGGGGTGACGGTGGTGTAGGGGTTGCTGCCTGACAGTTTGATGTGGTTGCTCTCGGCGATCCTCTGGGCCTCCTTGTGGATGGCCAGAATGGCCTCCCGTTCCCTGTCGGCATCTGGCAGCGTTGACTTGAACTGGTCATGGGCTGAGATCAGACCCTGAAAGAGAAGAAGGGGTGAGGGGCAACCCAGACCCTCAGAAGTCCCACAAGAAGGATGGGTAGGGGCGGACCTCGATCTCCTCGATGGTGTGGACGATGAACATGTCCTGGAGGTCCTCCATGGCACTCTCCATCCAGTTGTTGAAGGGGGCTGCCCGCTTGGCATATTCCAGGTGCAGCTGGTCAATGGTCTCCAGCTGCTTCTCTGTTTTCTGGTGTGTGGGGAGGGGCAGGGACAAAGGAGAGAGGTCAGTCAGCAAGCAGGAAGTGGTGAATGGTAGGGAGGGGTCCGTGGGTACACCAGGCTCCAGGGTGACATTGCCCCTCCTCACCTCCAAGGCTTCCCTGCGACTGTGGGTCAGAGAGCCAAGGGCATCCCACTGATCGCAAATCTTCTGGCACCGGGTGTTGACATTGTGGGAGTCATAGTAATCCAGCTCACTGTAGGCAGAGCACAGGGTGGTGAGACCTGGCAGGGCCATAACGGGTGGACCCGGACGCACCTGCCCCCTAAAGTCTTGGTACCAGGGGATATCAATGTTGAAGACTATTAGTCATCCACTGCTCCTAGGACTTATGGCCTCCCAGGGTAGGAAGAATTCAGGAGTGGAGTCGGGGGAGGGGTAAAGGAGGGGCAGGGGCTTCCTCTTACTCTCTCACTCTATGGGCTGCTAAGCTGTGATAAACTAAATGGGTGGGTGGGTGGATGGGGGCAGGGTGTGGCCCTTGACCAAGCCTGTATGTGGATTGCTTTCCCACTTAAAGAAAGTCAAGAAGAATACACTGGTTAGAGAGCATGGGCTCCAGAGCTGAGTTCCCTACGTCTGAATTCTGGCTCCCTGATTTTATACTTGTGTGGCCCTGAGAGGGGACCCTGTTCTCTTGTTTGTGAAGCGGTGGTGGGGTTATCGCAGAGAGCATGTGAAGTGCTGAGAGCAGTCCTTGACACCCAACAGGTGAAAGTAATAACAGCTATTTATTAAAGGTTGTGTATTTATTTTAATGGGTATTAAAACACACACACACAAAACAGCCCAGCCGGTGTGGCTCAGTGGTTGAGCGTGGACCTATGAACCACGAGGTTTTGGTTTGATTCCCAGTCAGGGCACATGCCCAAGTTGCAGACTCAATCCCCAGTGTGGGGCGTGCAGGAGGCAGCCGATCAATGATTCTCATCATTGATGTTTCTATCTCTCCTTCTCTCCCTCTTCCTCTGTGAAATCAATAAAAAAATAAATTAAACACACACACACACACACACACACCCTATAAAACTAGCCTGCAATTTAGTTCTAAGCAATTGATAATTAAGAAAAAAGTAAGCCTATTAGGATACAGGTATTATTATTCAAATGATTTAGATTTTGAAAATCCTGGGCTGATAATCGTTACTGGTCCCCAGCCCTCCACATGCTCCCTGCCCCACCCCCCCAAACCCCCTATCAGCCCCAGTATTCCCATCTCCTATGGTCCAGACACTTAGATACTCTTAGTAGCAAAGCACTAGGGAATTGGTGTACAGGCAAAATCTTGGTGGCCTGGTGAGGGGTGGAGAGCAGGGAACAACTCTGGGAAGGAATAGGACATAGGGACCAGATGATTGTGTCACCTGCTTGGATACAGGGGCAGAGGGGAGCAGGTAAGGCTAGTAGAGGGAATGGAGCAAGGCTATTCTCCAGAGCAGCGGTCGCCAACCGGACCACGGGTTGGCAACTGCTGCTCCAGAGGACCAGGCAGCCTGGGCTCCGCTCCTGCCTTGACCACTTCCTAGCTAAGTGACCTTGGGCAAGGCCCTTGGCCTCTCTATGCCTCAGTCCTCCCTGTGTAACATGGGTGCCAGAAGACACCAACATTTAAGGCTATCCGTCACCCAGGCTGGGAGATTAAGTGAGCTGGTACAGATATGGCACCGAGTGCCCTTGGAGTTTCCATCACTGCCATTAATCAGGTCTCAACCAGGCTGTCCATCAGGGCTCATTCTGGCCGGCTCTCAGTCCTCTGACTCATCTTTGGGGAGCCGACAGCACCCTAAACAGCGCCCCCCCGCCCCGCCCTTCTCTCCTCCAGGGCTACTGTCCAGAAAGCTGCTTCAGGGACCGCCTGTTCCCTGGCTCAGGGTGATGGGTTTCACATGGCAGTTCCCAGTGCCTGAGAAGCAGGCTGGCCTAAGGATTCAAAATGTTTCTTAGCAGCTTCCAGGGGCTCACTGGTCAACTAGGAACCTACTCACATGCCACCCTCCATGATCCCTGTAGACATCTGCGTCTGTGGCCTTGCTGTCCTTGGCCTGGTGTGCCAAGTGCAGGAGCTCTATCCTAGGAGAGTCTGCAGGACTCCTAGGGGAGGCCCCAGCAGGGACCCTGTATTCCAGCACAGAAAGGCCCCATAGGACTTCTGCCTCTGGTGAGCAAACGGAGAACCCCAAAAAACTGGGCGATATGGAGCGAATGAGTCAGGGAATAAACTGGCCCTCCCCGGCAGGGGGCTGCACAGGGCATCACGCTGGCCCTAGCCACGTAGGAACAAGCAGAACTCTGGGAATGACTGTAGAAAGGGCAGCTCTAGCTAAGGATCCTATTTTTGAACAGAGAGCTATTTTGGGAGCCCTGCTGCCCCTCCAGGGCCTATGGATTTTCCATGAAGTAATGGCCTGGGCCTCCCACCCCGAGTCCTCCCTGCTGATGGCCATTGCACTGGTGGAATAAGGCCCTCATTCACTGGCTCTGGAGATTCAGTGTACTAATTGTGTGCACAAGTTTATCTGACTGGGGCAGGAAAGGGAGGGCAAAGAACCCGGCTGCCTGGAAGGCCTTACAATAGTGTATTCTGAGCATGAGAGGAAAGGGGCAGAACAATGGGCTCTCTGTGCACTCCATGCAGCCAAGTCCCTTGGGGAGGAGCAGGGATAGAGGTGGGGGCTGGGCTGCCCACCCTATCAGAGGCCAGGGATCTCCTTGGTGTGGCAGGCAGGGAAGTGGAGCCCAGGGACCCCTAGAGCCTGAAGAATCAGGACAAGGTGTCAGAGCATCTAGATTCTGCTGTTTCTCATAAGACAAGAAATGACAAAGACATCACCCCATAAGGCCCTGGCATCTGAAGGAGGGGTGAGGGTGGAGAGGACTGGGAGACCCTGCTCCAGGCATGGGGCAGCATAACCTTAGTTGCAGTCCACCACTGTTCTGGGTGTGGTGCTGGAGGGAAGCAAGTGATGGGCTCATGAGCCCACACTTACTTGAGCTCCTGGGCAATAGCTGCGATCTGCTCCACGCGGTCCTGATGTGCAGCCAGGTCGCTCTCGAAGGCCTCGTGCTTGCGGATGAGGGCTTTGATGTCCGACAGGGTGGCCGTCTCGTAGTCCCGGTGCTTCAGCATGGCTTCCTTCCCTGGGGTGGGGCAGACGGCAGGAGACACTTAGACAACAATGCACCAAGAGTCCACCAGAGGCCTGTGCCACCAGGGGCAAGGAAATGAGGCAGACCAACATCCTATCTAGCTGAGAATGGTGCCATGAAGACTAGAAACTTCCAGAACCTTTTCCCTTGACCTTTCCAGGGATCTCTAAGACCAAATAAATCCTGAATGGAGCTGGGAGACACTGTGGTGTTGTGAGCCTGAGCCAGATATCCCAATTCAACATGTGTGTTCTAAACTTAGTGTCCACTAGTGGTAGGAGACTGGAAGCCTGGACTGTTGTACCATCTGTAGAGGGCTATGATCTGGAGAAAAGGCTGGGGTGCAGCCCGTGCCTCAGCAGGGTAGAGGAAGGGGAAGTGTTTCAGTTAGGCTTCTTCTTGGAGCCCACCCCTCTGCCTGCTCCCTGGCACTTGGGGGCTGGCTCCCTTGGGGGGGGGGGCGGTGGTCTTATCACATACCTATAGGCCCCATACTGTCCTAAGGACTTTGCATGTGCAGTGAGGCAGGGCCTGTTATTAGGCCTTTGAAGGAAGGGAGGAACACTGTTATTAGACCTGGAGCCTGGCTAATTATATGCCCCAGGACAGAAGCTCAAGTGGCCCTGTAGGCACAGTAAGGTACTGCAGAACTGGTGGAAATGTTAGCCTGGGAAGGGGCACTGCTTCGGGTAAGCCACTTCGGGTTGCCCCTAGAGTGGCAGCTCAGAGACCCCTCCTCAACGCGGCACCAGAGCATCTGACCAGCAGCTGCCCTCCAGGTGAAGCGACTCAGAGCTGTGGGACGGCAGGCAGTTTCTCTCAGCTGTTCCCTCATCTGTGGAATGGAGCCAACGCTGGCGCCTGAAGCCTCAGTGAGGTGTTGTTCGAGAAGGGCAGGCACAGAGCCAGGCCCACTGTAACCTCAGCCACCCCGAGGACAGGGCCTGGCATTGGCAGGCAGGAGGCAGCAGCCTGGGAGACTGACTCCACTGGCCCTGCCACCACAGGCCTGGGGTAGGACACGTAACCACAAAGGCAAGCTTGCAATTCCCTTCCCTAAATTGCTTTCTCCCAAGGGTGGGAACCCAAAATAGTAGGTTAGCACTTCTCTGCCTCAGCAGAGTTTCAGCATGGGCTGGCAAGGGGTGCACTGGATGACTGGACCACAGCCATGGCCACCTTGTATGCAGGCCAAGGGGCAGCCACGAAAGGGAATTGGGCTCATTTTTGTTTCTTTCCCCAAATAACCCAAGACCTGAGAAGCATTCACACCCCTATAGGCTGCGAGGGATGCTGAGAGGGGTCAGGAGGTGGGTCTGTCCTGTTTTGCATACGTTGGTGGTACAGAGGCTTCAGGCTGCAGGTCTTGGGAATGAGTGGGCAGGCCTGCCTGGGGGCTCGGGCTGATTCATGACACAGGCCCAGATATTAAAGTGCCTGTGCACCTGCCTGTGGGGAGGCAGGGGTGGGTGAGGGCATGTGGAGGCCACCGAGCCAGTCAGTCCACCCTGGCACAAGATCAGGCCAACTTCCCCTGAATGCCTTCACATGAAGGCCAGCCCCTGCATCACTCCTAGGAGAGGAACACTGGTAGGCCATCAGACCCACACCCCTGAGCATCAGGAGACCATCTTCCCAGGGTTTCCTGGAGCCCAGGTAAGGGACTATAGAGCTGATAACACAGGCCAAGAGGCCCTAGAAGAGAAATGCAGAAGGATGATGCCCAGAGCCTGTTGAATGACATGCAAAATGTGGATAACGACGGGAGGAAACAGCTCAGTCCAAGTGTGGGACACGGGTGCTGTAAAATCCACTTATGTGCACAAGGCCCTCTGATGTGAGAAATGCCCAAACCTGCTGGCCTGTGAGTTTCCCAGGCAGGAACCTCACCTACCTGGGAAACTACTGAACACAGGGAAGAGGCTCAAGAGGTATTTGTGGAATGAATGAATGAACTAATGAAGTAAATGCTAACATCCTCTCCTCCAGGGTTGGGGTAGAGCCATGGGTGCCATTTCTTCAAAGCGTGAGGGAGGTGCCTATACCCCTGGCCCAGGCTTCTTGTTTGCCCCACCTTCTAGCATCTCCCTCTGCATTCTTTCCCTGGCGGAGGAGGTTAGGGTATTGCTCTGATCTGGCAGCTGCAGCTGGAGAACAGCCCAGGACTGAAGATCATGCAGAGTTGCGTGTTCCCATGCTGTTAGGGGGTGGGGCCTCTGGGTAGGTCTTAGCATCTGGCTAGTGTTGGGGCTGCCTGACAAACAGCTGGGAGGGGGACTAGAAGAGCCCCCCCGAGGTTCAATGAGGATCTATCTCATGGTGAACTATGGGTTTGGGAAGGATGAAAAACCACCACGAGCAATGCAAAAAAATGTGAAATCAGCTGGGCAGAGTGGTAGCAGTGGGTGACCCTGAGTTTGATAATAGCAGGAGGGCAGAGATACTCGGGAAGGAAGGAGGGGAGTCCTGTGGATGGCGCTCGGCTTTCCTAGGCAGCGGCTGTTTCCTGAAGGCTTTTAGGTCCCTGGTATCTGGAATCCCAACCATGGTGTGGGTTCTGAATGAGGGCCAGAGGCATGATAGAATTCCACATCCTGAGCCAAGGGAACAGGCAGCTGCAGAGCTGCCGAGAAACGGGAGGCCTGCCCTCACCAAGACCATTCTGCCCTCGGAGGGCATGAAGGCTGCCCTTTTGGAAAAAGCCATCCTGCAGAGGCCCAGGCCCCTTGGAAGGAAGCTCTGCATGGCTGGCAGTCAGTGAGCACGCTCTGTGGCTCAGGAGGCGGCTCTAGGCCTTTGCCTTTAAGGACCATGCTCGGGAACACAGACCCATACAGTGTGAGGTCCTCAGTCACAAAGGGCGTGGAGAGCGAAGGCAGACTGTCTGCACACAGGCTGCCAGGGATGGGAGAACCTGTCTCCCACCCCTGCAGAGTGGAAAGGAACAGGGTTATTTCCCTACTGAATGACTGGCCTTGATGACCCAGGAAGGGGCCCACCTATAAGTAATGAGAGCAGATGGGCAATGCATCAGGAAGAAGAGGAGGAGGGAGAAGGGGAGGGGGAG